CTCTCTCTCTCTCTCTCTCTCTCTCTCTCTCTCTCTCTCTCTCTCTCTCTCCCTTCCTTCTTTCCATCTTTCCTTCTTCTCGCTTTCCTTTCTTTCTATCTCCTGTTTTCACTCGAACACATTAAAACGCTTAAAGGCTTTTACTCTCAACTCTCTCTCGCTTCTTTTCATTCCTTCTTCTCTTTCTCCCTTCTTCCTCCCTCCTGCATTCCTTCCAACCTATTACCCTTAAAGGCATTTACTCCCAACTCCCTCCTGCAGCCTCATTTCCTTCTTCTGTTTCTCCCTTCCATATTCCTCTCTTCTATTTTCTTCCTGTCTTTCCTCCAACCTATATCCCTTAAAGGCATATTAAAATTAACTCTCAACACACCGTGCTCTCCCTCCAACATCACTGATGACGTAGCTAGTTCTGACTCAGCGCCTGGGCGCCTGGACACTCCTATAATATGCAGGCCTTTGCGAGGTTTTACCGTAGCTCAGACATCACCGGACCCCAGCCCTAGCAAAATCCCCAATCGAAAGAGCCAAGCGATCACTGCACTCATGATTCAATCATTGACACGTGCCCAGAAAAATCGAGGCACAAACTCTGATTTGATTTATTGTGTGATATTATGGAAGAGTGAATCTTTAGATGAAAGATGACTCGCAGATTCTGCTCTGATTTATGGTGTGACTTTATGGAATGATGGGAAAATCTTTGGATACAAAGTATAGTGCAGATTCTGGTCTGAGTTATGTGGTGATATTATGGAATAATGAAGAAATCTCTGGATTAAATAGCAAAGTGCGAATTTTCATCTACGATTGATGTGTCATCATGATTTAATGATGACTGGATAAAACGTAGAGTACACTCTGTGTTCCGATTTATGGTGTTGCATTATGAACTAATGCATTTCTGCAAATTCGGACCTGTTTTAAAGTGGGACATCGAGGAATGTTATTGTGAATCTGTGTGTGGGGGGAGGGGGGGTTGGAGGGGGGTGTTCATTAAATTTTAAAAATTCATTTGTTCATTTTAGGGCGGGGGCGTTCAGGCGCAAATCTCTGTGAGTGTTATCGTGGTTCTGGTGTTATCACGATATAATGTGAAAAAATATGTGAAATAGAATTACAATAGTGTATGTGTATCAACTTATTGACAGGCTCAAATTATTTCTATGGTAGATAGATAGGTAGATAGATAGATAGATAGATAGATATATAGATAGATAGATAG